GGGGGGGGACTCAGAAGTCGAGGATTCCCCTTTCCCCCGGGGGGGATGCTCCATGCATTGCACCGCCGAGAACCGCAGCGTTTGCAACTGCCCGCTGGTCCATTTGCAAGCGGAGCCCCATTGACCCCGGGAAGTCGCCCACCTACCTCTCCCTGGGATCTCCCGGGTGGGCTGCCGGCCATCCCGATGGCTCTTGGGCGCCCCGAGCTGGACTTCTAGCGGCGAGAAGGCAGGAAGGACGGACGGGCAGAGGGCGGGTGGCTCTGCTGGCTGACGTCGAGGGGGAAGGAAGGATCCCGAGTAAGTTGCGCCGCAATTTATATTGCCCAGCCCGGAGGCGGAAAGAGCGGATGCCCCAAAGACCGCCCCAAATAAACACGCGCCCAGGGTCCCACTTCTCCCCAGGCTGCAAACACGCGTCCGCCTTCCGACGTGCAGATAGCTCGCTTGGCAACAAGGGTTTCCCCGGGTCGAGGGAATCTGGGGGCTTGGCTAGGCACGCCTAATAAATATCATTTATGTATCTAATAGTTATTAAAAGTATCTATTCAATATTATTAATAACATTTATGCATTACACATAATGCATTCAATATTATTAATGAACTAAATGTACACACACACATAATGTACATGTGCATGTATAATGCATATACATACAAACATACATTATATAGACGTTGTACATATATATAGGTGTATATTTATTTATTTATTTATTTATTTATTTATTTATTTATTTATTTATTTGACATATATACCGCTTCATAGGGCTTTCAGCCCTCTCTAAGCGGTTTACTAAAAAATTTTTTTTAGCAAATTGAGTCAGCAACTTGGCCCCACAGTCTGGGTCCTCATTTCACCCACCTCGGAAGGATGGAAGGCTGAGCCGGTGAGATTTGAACCGCTGAACTGCAGATCACAGTCAGCTAAAGTGGCCTGCAGTACTGCACCCTAAACACTGCGCCACCTCGGCTCCTGTACATATGCATAATAATGTGTAATATGCACGTATGTGTATAATGCAGTGTTTCTCAACCTTGGCAACTTGAAGATGTCCGGACTTCAACTCCCAGAATTCCCCAGCCAGCGAAGGGAGTTGAAGTCCGGACATCTTCAAGTTGCCAAGGTTGAGAAACACTGGTATAATGTATATAGAATAGAAAATAGAATAGAATTCAGGATAGAATAGAATTGCAAATAGAGTAGCGAATAGAATAGAATAGAATAAAAAATAGAATAAAATAGAATTGAAGAGATTAGAACAATATGGAATATGGAAGAATACTGTGGTGGGATTCAGCCGGTTCGCACCACTCCGGGAGAACCAGTTGTTAACCTTCTGAGCAATTTGATGAACTGGTTGCTGGAAGAAATCGTTAGGGCAGAGAACCGGTTGTTAAATTATTTGAATCCCACCACTGGAAGAATAGAATGGAATGGAATAGAAGAGGAATAGTATAGAAGTGTTGGAAGGGACCTTAGAGATCTTCTAGTCCAACCCTCTGCTCAAGCAGATGACCCTATGCAGTTTCAGACAAACGATTCTCCAATCTCTTCTTGAAAGCTCCAGTGATGGAAGCCCCCACAACTTCCAGTGGCAAGCCGTTCCACTGGTTAATTGTCCTCACTTTTAGGAAATTTCTCCTTAGTTTTGGGTTGCTTCTCTTCTGGATTAGTTTCCACCCGTCGCTTCTTGTCCTGCCTGAAGGAGAATAGGTTGACTCCCTCTTCTTTATGGCAACCCCCAAGATACTGGAAAGCTGCTATCATGTCTCCCTTCGTCCTTACTTTCTCTCGACCAGCCAGACCCAAATCCTGCCTAAGTGTAAAAGTTTGGCTTCCTCCACAATTCAACGTTTCTCGATGGGGTCCATTGTTCAAGAGTTTTTTGGATCCTGGGCTTGTCTTCTGGGGGGGTTGCTTATTCCTGCCAGTTTATGCATGTTATGTATAAAATATATATGTATACAATACTATACATGTGTACATTATGTATAATATATAGCGTATATCATGTATATAGTTAACATTCAAGCTAACGGCTGTCTTTGTTGTCATCCAGAAAGGAAGAAAAACACCTCAGGAACTTCATGAGGTAAATTAAAGAGGGTTACAGAACAGACAGAAGGAAAAAAGGCGGGAAAAAGGGGGGAACACCCCCTTTATACTGAGGGCAGCCAATCACAGCGCAGATTGCCTCACAGATGAGTCAGCCCTCTCTAACCGACCACAACTGTGTGTGTTCTGCCCTGTTGTGCCCTTTACCAAGAATAGGAACCGTTTGGAAAATCCAGGGGACCAAAATGATATCCTAATTTAATTATGAAATAAATATTTTTAAGGAAGAAAAGGAAATGGTTGAAATCAAAATTAAAGTATGAATTTATATATCAAATTCATGGCGACCAGAAGAACAACGGGTCATCGGAATTGGCAATGAATCTATCCACGTGAGGGACAATTTATACCACAGCCAGCTGGTAATGCTGGCGACCTGTCACTGTTCCAAGCTTGGACAGCAAAAAAAGTGGACTCGCTGTGAGGTCCAACAAATGGTTTTACTGGTCTCTTGGCTCAGCATGTGATGAACACAACATAAGCTTCTCCAACCAATATTACCGGTTTCTGACAGCCAGCTGGCTATGAGGTCGTGCGACCGGCCTGCTCCAGCAATCTCTCTCCAGGCCTAGCTTCATGGTCTCTGATCCGGTTGCAGCTGTCTCTCCTTGACCCTCCATCTGTGTATGTTAATGCCAACACCCAGTACCCGACAACAAACTGTGCGCCCCATCTATGATTTGTGGTAACTCTGTCTTGGATGTTGACGCCGGCTTTCAGGATCAACCATCAGCACTGATGACGTTCGCTAGTGGATCATGAAACATCTGTCGGAATAGCACCAAGTCAAGAGAGCACTAAGGATCCCACAACCCTCCTCCTCCTCCCCGCTTCTAGCACTGATGATGTTCCCTAGTGGAGTCATGAAATGGCTGTAAAAAAACCACCCAACTCAGAGAGCCAAGGTGGCGCAGTGGTTAAATGCAGCACTGCAGGCTACTGCTAGATCAGCAGGTCAGCGGTTCAAATCTCACCGGCTCAGGGTTGACTCAGCCTTCCATCCTTCCGAGGTGGGTAAAATGAGGACCCGGATTGTTGTTGGGGGCGATATGCTGACTCTGTAAACCGCTTAGAGAGGGCTGAAAGCCCTATGAAGCGGTATATAAGTCTAACTGCTATTTCTAGAGAGCATCGAGGACCCCACAATTCAACATCATTCATCAATGCAAAAATTCTCCTCCACCCCCCCCCCTCTTCATCCTCCCTTCACTCCCGTTCCCTTGTAGCATTGATTATGTTCCTTAGTGATAAATACAGGTAATCCTCAACTTCCAACTATAATTGAGCCCAAAATTTATGTTGCCAAGAGATGTTGGTTCAATGAGTTTTGCCCCATTTTACGATCTTTCTTGCCAGGGTTGTTAAGTGAAGCATTGCAATTATTAAGTGAGTCACACGGCTGTTAAGCGAATCTGGCTTCCCCGTTGCCTTTATAGCAATATAGCAATAGCAGTTAGACTTATATACCGCTTCATAGGCGGTATATAAGCGGTTTACAGAGTCAGCATATTGCCCCCAACAATCTGGGTCCTCATTTCACCCACCTCAGAAAGATGGAAGGCTGAGTCAACCTTTGAGCTGGTGAGATTTGAACCATCGAACTGCAGCTGAAGTGGCCTGCAGTACTGCACTCTAACCACTGCGCCACCTCGGCTCTAACTTGTCAGAAGGTCGCAAAAGCGGATCATGTGACTCTGAGACGCTGCAATGGTCATAACTACGAACCTGAATTTTGATCACATGACCATGGGGATGCTACAAGGGTCAGACGTGTGAAAAATGGTCGTAAGTCCCTTTTTTTCAGTGCTGGTTGTAACTTTGAGGGGGTCACTAAATGAACTGCCATAAGTCTAGGACTACCAGTAACTACATTATTTCCCAGCCTTTCTATCTGCAAACATCCCTGAAGTGAATGAACAAAAAATGCAAGTAACTCTCTTTCTTTTTTTTGGTAATTTGTCTTTATTTGCAATGCACCTTCAATACAAAACTACATCCTGAACAGAACGTCTCTCTGTGTGGGTAATTAATATATTGTTCGTTAAAAAACAAAACGAGGCGGCCCACATTTTATGAGATAAAAAGGGAGTTTTAAAATCCTAAAAGCAGCAGAGGAGAGAGAGAGAGAGAGAGCCCAGGGGGGAACAAATTAATACGGCTGCTGCAGGTCAGACCCACGAGATTTCTTTTCGAAAATTCAAAAAGTTTTTTCCCCCCGCACTCGCAATAAAACTGGGAACCGGGAAAAGGAAGTGGAGAGGAAAAGAAAAGAGAAAGGAATCGACCGGTGGCTTGAACAAGAAGTCCCACGGAGTGGCGAGCTACGCAACGTAAAGGGATTTTTCCGCGTAAATGGTTCCATCCGTACATCTGGAAAAACATTATTTTTATTTTATTTTTTAAAAAAAGCAAAGGATCCATCTGGAGCGTGGTTCTGCCGCTATACGTTTTTGAGTCACTCTGTCAGAAAATGACGGGAAAAGTATAACTGTGCAGCCGGTGGCATCCAACAGAAGCCCGAAAGATACACGTCCTTGAGCATCCAGCAAAATGAGACCGCTTGTTGTGCAAGGAATAGCATCCTGCACATGTGCAAGTACCATGCAGGCGCGCCAGTACTGAGGAGGGAAGGAAGGAGGGAATTGGGGGTCAGAAAACCTTTCAGACCCATCTGTCCTCTCCCCACATTCTAAATTCCCCCCAAAGGGCCGGGATCCTTCTGTACTAAGGGGGGTGGCCATGATTCTTCACCGTTAGCATCCTCAGCTGAAAAGGAGTCAGACTTGGACAGCCCATCTGTCCAGCTGTTTTTCCACATCAGGTAGAATTAAGGCTTGGGACTGGGGGGGGGGGGCTGCAGAGGGAGTGCTGGGGAGGGGGGAGGTTTCGATTGGACGGGCTGAGAGACTGGGCTCTTTCCCGCTGCTGTGAGGTGCTAAGGGAGACCGTCACCCCCCAACCCAGGGAGGAGTCGCTGGGCCGAGGCCTCGCTGCTGTGAGTCCTCAGGTGGTCCTTGAGCGACTCCTTGTAGCGGAAGCTGCGCCCGCACTCTGCGCATTGGTAGGGGCGTTCGCCCGTGTGAATGCGCTGGTGCTTGAGCAGATTTTGCTTCCGGATGAACCGTTTCCCACAGATGGGGCACTGGAAGGGGCGCTCACCCGTGTGCAGCCGCTGGTGGTTCTGCAGGTGCTCCTTGCGGCTGTAACACTTGCCGCACTCGGCGCACTTGTAAGGGCGCTCGCCCCGGTGGGTCATCTGGTGCCGCACCAAGCCCGAGTGGCAATTGAAGCTCTTGCGGCACTCGGCGCACTCGTACGGCCGGGCTTGGCCATGGTGGCTGCGCTGGTGGACTTTGAGACTCTTTTTTACCCCAAACATCTTGCCGCACTCACTGCAGCCGTGGGGCCTTTCGGCCGAGCCTTGTGGAGGGCCCAGGATACTTTGCAGCTCACTGTCTAACTCCAGAGATTTACCCGCTCTACATTTGGTGGGGCTGACGGGCGGCCCACGGGGAGCCTCATAGCCTTCCGCTGCTGGAGGAACAGCGAGAACGGCTGCTGCAGGAGATTCTCCCTGGAACAGCATCTCCCGAGGTCTCGCCGACTCTTCCGGGCACAGGCGTGGCTGCTCGGCTTTGATGGTGGTCATTGCGTCTCCAGCTGGAATAGAAAGTGAAAGAAAACTGAAATAATTTGCAGTGATACCTCAATACGCAACATTAATTGGTTGAGGAAGGCATGGTGAGTACCAGAAACTATGAGTCCCAAATTTTTCCCCCCATAACGAATAGTGGAGAGAATTGCACGATGGCCAACAATACCTCCCTAAGACCCTACATGGCCTAGGACCCGGATACCTACAAGACCGTCTTCTGCCGCATACCTCCCTAAGACCAATAAGATCGGACAGGATGGGCCTTCTCCGGGTGCCTTCAGCTGGACAATGCCGGCTGGCGACACCTCGGAGCAGGGCCTTCTCTGTTGCCGCTCCGGGCCTAAGGAATTAGCTACCCCCAGAGATCCGGACCCTACCCACTCTCGTGGCCTTCCGAAAAGCTATTAAAACCTGGCTCTTGATTGAGGTCCAGCTCCCCTTTGACTGGGTGCATGTTGTGTTTCTTCTTAATCTTGTTGTATCTTAATGTTTTAATCCTTTTTTAATA